TTTGGTTACAGCAACAAATAAAGTGTTGACATCGCAATTCCGACCTTCCCATTCCTTATGTAGAAAGAAGTACTGTACTAGTATATAATTCTATAATGTTAGGTAGTTTTCACCACGGTTGAGAACAGCGTTCACATAACGTTTACATTTTTCCAGAGAGAGTCCTTACATTTCTTATTTAGTGTTGCATCTATATAAAATAGGGGATTAGTAATTTGTAGACATACTAGTAGATTCATTCTTGCCTTTTCGCACAGACGAATGGTTTTGCTTTTACCATTAATCATTAACATCACGCTAGACTTCTATTCCATGGTCTTGCCTCAGGGCTGTACTTTGACCTTTCATTGATCTTTTTTTAGCCAATGCTGCCCAGTTGTTAAGTCAACTCTGCACGGGCGCTATAGTAATTGCGAAAAGGCGTATTCCTTGATATCTTGGCTGACGGTGACAAATACACCCGAGTGGCTTCCGCATTCAGTTCAAAGTTTTGACATGTGAGTAACAGGGCGAAATGGACTTAGGTCTGAAGACTGCATTGGAGTCGAGACAAATAGTTGTTGCTGCTCTGGCCACGGCAGCGGTCGCCACTGCTGGGGTAGCCTACTTGACATGGCGGCGGTCCCGCAGGCAGTACGTCCCAGTCGGTCATGTCTCCAAACTCTACGTCCACCCGGTAAAGTCCTGCCGGGGTTTGGAGGTGGGGGAGGCCGAGGTGACCAAACAAGGTCTCCGGTTGGAGGGGGTTATGGACAGGTAGGGAGCGGGGAGAATATAGCTAAATGTAGGAACAATCCCGCAATCACCTTTGGTTGACCCTAATGCTGTATGTATGACTGCGGGGTCGTGTAGGCTGTTGTCGTAGTAGCCTGATACTTCCTCGGTCATACTAGTAGCGTTTCATAGTTCATACTGATGTTTTTAAATCGCAGCATTGTTTTCAACATCTCAACTGCACATACCAGAGAGTCACTGGTTGCTTTCGAGTCAGGACCTTTCGAGAACGATGATGGGCATTGCGTTTATTGCCCTTTTCATGTACACAACTCCTGCGGGTGCATGTCATCTTCACGCGGTTTTACACCGTGTTACCCCCTACAGACAGTTGTTTCTCCCTTAGACACCTGCTGGTATTGGATGAGAAGGACCGCTTCGTGACCGCACGGACGGAGCCAAGCATGATCCTCATCACCCCCAGGTGTGTCGGGGACGGGCAGGTCAGACTGGAGGCACCTGGTATGGACCCGCTCCATGTACCCAGACCCAACACAGACGGCGCGGTTATCAATGTCACGTAAGAAAAATAGAAAACTTTGTGTGCCGCTCTTCCATTTTGTCTTCTGTCTGCAACTGTTTGTCCATCATATCTGCACATGTCATGTAACGTTACTTGTTCCAGGACTGTTGGCAGTACGTGCGCATCGGTACGGCTGAGTTCCGGAAAATGCTAGCCTGCAACAGGTGGGTATAACCGCGTAATATCACTACAAATATTTCACAAATCATAGAAACACAGAAGAAACTTTTGCAGTACCAACACATAAATTGACCAGTGTCGATATTTCTGCATTATTTCACTGATCATAAGGCAGATTCACTCTTCTCCGCTAGAGTTCTGTCAAACATGGTCAGTTCATCTTGAATATACATCTTTGTGGGCCGTCTAAGTCTAATTGCCTTCTGTCCCTTGTTCCTATAGGTGCCTCATAACTACCGTCAACCCTGAAACTGGTGTGAAGGAAGGACAGGAACCCCTCCATACACTCAGAAGGTCGAAAACCATTCATGCGTCTTGGTGTGTTTGGGGAAATCGATTTTGATACGGCGAAGTTCAATTCATTTATCTTTTGGACCAGATACATTCCCTTTAGTACAAAGGCAGCTCAGTAGAACTTATCAATGTCTTGTTATTTTTCTCTCTCTAGTTATCGTCTTCCCGAGGACGAAAAACAGAAGAGACTATTCGGACAGACCCCGCTGTTTGGCCTCATGCGTGGGGTGGAGCAGGAAGGGTCCATCCACGTAGGAGACACAGTGTATGCCTGCGTGTAGCGGGACGCCGCAGTCGCAAAGACAGCGGCACCGAACTCCTCAACCTTTGAGGGCCCTCAGTCGTAACAATACGTCGGTTGACGTTTGGCATACACCTAATTATGATCGTGAAATAAATGTTTTGGTCATACAATGAAAACATGTTTCTCTGTACTTGTCCATTTCAACTACCTAGCTGTTAATACTGGATGTAATAAATGATTTTCGACTTGTGTTAGACATCAGCCGTTCGTCTGTAGCTTCTTCACAAGCTCCGGACAAATATGCCATGAACCATGCATCGAACAGCCAGATGTTGTGTCAGGTCTGAAATGGTGACGTAGTGATGCTGCCGAGAGAAAGGTCAATTTATAAAACGGAGATTGCGTTGACTCAAAGCGTTGAGGTGGTGAAAAGTCGATGAACTGCAACGGTGCCTGGGTAGAAAGCTTTATAATATATCATACTCGCACAAAACATCGAATCCACTGAAGACGGTGGTTCAGTCTGCAGGTGTGTTGTAAACCGTAATCTTGGGAAGTGTGAGCGTACTAGCTTTGCTATTCGGCAGCCTGACAAGCAACAATGGACCTCTGATCACAGTACTCAATAGTTCAAAGTTCGAAGGGCATGACCCTTTCCGGATAAATTTTGCAGGGAACGCTCGTACATTCATCGAATGTTTACATTTGCGCCGGGTAGGGTCTAGTTATACAGTGCAAAAACTGGTAGACAGGAGTTTGAGTGTGAGGCAGAGCAGTCGAACGTACAGTGGTCGGACACCTGCAAGATGGTCGGTTTGAAAGCTGCACTCCAATCTAAAGGCGTAGTTATCGCTGTACTGACTACTACAACAGTGATCTCTGCCGGCATTGCCTACCTCCAGTGGCGGAGGCATCGTAAAAGGCACTACGTCCCCGTTGGGCATGTTGCTAAGATCTACATGTACCCTGTGAAGTGCTGTCGTGGTCTGGAGGTAGGGGAGGCCGTGGTCACCGAGCAGGGTTTGCAGTGGAAAGGAATTATGGATAGGTGAGAGCTGGAATGAACATTGCACTCTAAAGCCATTCTTGTCTTACGAATGAATGAATGTGATAATAGGTTAGAAAATGCGATCCTTATAAAGCTAAACTACAGGCCGATCCCACCAAAGTCAGCCTGTCTAGGGAGGTTACCTAACGAACACAACCATTGACCTCTGATTGACCCGTGATACAAAGAACCCCCTGGGACACCGTGTACGCGTGTAGTTCTGTCACTAGCAGCTGATTTACACAACCTTTGGACTGTTTGATCCTATCTACACGTTAGTTTTGTTGAATGACAACATACATCTCCTTCTATATTCAGACACCTGGTGATTCTTTATAAGGATCGTTTCTTGGACTCGAGAACGGAATCCCGCATTGTCCTGATCTCACCACAGTGTAGTGGAGACGGACAGGTGAGGCTGGAGGCACCCGGTATGGACCCACTCATCTTGTCTGGTCCCACCAAAAACGTGATTAACGTCAGGTAAGACTGTGTATTTTG